CGGTCGACATCGAGTCGAGCACCTGTTACTTCCTGAACGTGCCCAAAATCCCGTCCGACTCGTTCCGATCCGCCACAAATTTCCCGACGATACTCGGCCAATATCTGTGTTTGATACCGATATCTCAGGATCGTTTCCGGATATACAGCTTAAGAACCGCCCTATCGGTGGTCGCGCTTGTCTGTCAAATCATCATGACGTTTTTGAGTTTTTGCTGGCTGAAGGAGACCGGCGCCAACATATTCAAAGGAGGTCAAAGAATCCCGCAGCGGGGATTATTAAAATATATTATAACCATACAGAGAATTGTTTACAGGTGTAGTTTTGTTCTTTGGTGGGTCAGCCGTCACTATGGCGTTGCTCATTAACTTGTCGAGCAACTGGTGCAATCTACTAAACAAATGGGAACAAGTGGAGGGGTACTTCGGCCACCAAAAGAATTTGAAGTTGAAATTCACTCTCATATCCATTGTGTGTATAATTTTTTCGATGGGTAAGATTTACCTTATAGCTCAGCATTTCCCGAAATTTTTTTTTATGTGATGAGCCTTTATTGTATATTATATTATGTAATATGATATATAATCTATCTACTCGTTTTCGTTTATATCTTTCAAATAAAAATATTATATATTTATTATAGGTACCTATATAAAATTAAATTTAACACTGGTTGTATATTATAATTACATATTATACCTATGTGTAAAATAAAGTCTTGTAGCATTGTAACGATATGTAATTACTGACTGTCTTTTGTGCTTGTATTTACTAGTTACTGTGTAAATAATAAATATAAAAAAAGTGGTTGAGTGGATGTCGCTCTGCTTTACAGTAGGTTTCAAGTGGGTCAATGTATAATGGAGTACATTAAACTTGAATTCAATGATATAGTATCATTGTATAAGAAAAACGATTCTGAGCGGAGACGGTTTGTCAGTCTGGATAATATTTTATATTTTTATTATTTATTATAGCCTGCAAGTTAAATTGATATTACAATATTATAATTTTTTGTTCGTTTCTATGGTGATAAAGAAAGCTGTAGAAATTAAAATTCCATTTTTATCGGTTTTTCGTAATTTGTCTGTAGTTTTTCCAGTGGCATTAAATAACTATTGAGAAAATCGAAAAATTACCTGTTTAAAGTACCATCTTGATCCAATTTGCTAAAAAATAAGATACTCTATGTTAAAATCAAAGTAACTCCTGGTAGAAATTTTGTATACAGGAAAAAAAAATAAACACATTGTAAAACTACTAGATCCCACGCTCCGCTCTAAAATATTGAAGTTGAAAATCTAAGCATTTATTTATCCAAAATAGGTCACGACAAACATATTAATATCATTGTAAAATCAATACATTCATCGCTCCGCCCAGAATTTAAAATTGATTACCTATATTATAATGAATAGATTTTGAATTGTTTTTCAAAGTCTTAGTATTTTATGTATATGTGGCCCCTAAATGAATGTACTACCTAACGGACTTCGATTTTCCAGGCCGACACTGATCTTACCTACCTATTACTACCATACAATGTGTTATCACTCGTTATAGATAAATATAATTTCACTAAAGCTCTGCAATTTTTGTTTTGAATTTGCAGTGGAACATTTGAGCTACTTGTTGACAGGTATCATAACGACGGAACGGGAGAATTCTCACGAAGTATTCGAAATTTACGTCTTGAAAATGTTCCCACAAGTATTTACTGTAATTACATACAACACGTGGATAGCAGTGTTGGTGTTAGTAATCAATTCCGTGTCGACTCTCACCCTCTGTTTCTCGGATCAGATCATCATCATGGGCAGTTTAGCGCTGGGAAATTACTTTCAGATATTCAATGACCGCATGAAAACACACAAAGGCAAGGTACATCGTATATCATACGCCTATAAAGTATATATTATTAGGTATTATATATTTATATCTATAGGCTATTAGGCTATATACAATATACTATATACATTATACATATTATTTACATATAGATTATAGATATAGTCGTAAAGATAATATTCTATATAATATAGCTATGTACGCATGTCAAGTGTCAACTAAAAGTGTAAGCAGCTGTTTTATATTATAAACGATATACCTGCCTATACTTCATGCAGTGTGGCGTGCTAAACATTTTTTAAACTTGGGACAAAACAAAAAATTAAGGTCGTGTGCAACAACCCAAAATATGAATATTGTTGTGTCCTATAAATAATTTGTTTACAGCGAAAAAACGAAATATTGTTATATTTTATTATATACCTATCTATGTTTTGTATTTTTAATATTTATCACATGTCACATACCTGTTCTAATTTTTGTCTTGAAAGTTGAAATCAAAAAAATCTTCTTTCGCACGCCACTGTAATGTATAATACCGTAGGTAGGTACAAGTAGTGTTGGGAAAAGATAACCAAAAAATCATCTGGATAAGCTAACAGATAATTCATTCAAAATTTATCTAGATATGATAAAATATAACATAATTTTTTTTATCTAGATAAAGATAAAAATACACATACATTTATCTAGATAAAAAATAGATAATTTGTTTTTAAATTTTATGATAAATAATATAATTTATTACTTTATTAGTAATTACCAATTAGGTAATATTTATTAATTAATAAATCCTTAATGTCATTTCTTAACTAAAATAATATACAATTTTAATTTTTAATATAACTTAAATAAAAATAAAATAACAAAAAAAACTGACAATGTTTGAGTAAACATTTCTTTTTTTAACTAAAATAATATTGGAATTTGGAATCACTTTTCGGTTTTTGTAAATTATTGGCTATTTCAGTATTTAAAAATATTCTTATTATTATATTATTTATCTAGATAAATTACCACAGATATAACCATTACATTTATCTAGATGAGATAATTAGATGGTTTAATTATTTTTATCTAGATAGGATAATTTGAGAAATAATTCCCAACACTGAATACAAGTGCCCTTATTGTATCGTGTTCTCTAATACAGACATTGACGTCGGATCAATGGAAGACATTGAGAGTGGACTACACTCGACTGTGCAATTTGACGAGACTGTTGAATGACTGCTTGTGTCATTTGCTGTGCGTGTCTTTGATAATACATCTGTACATCATATGCGTAGAACTACACCAGGGCGTTGTGTAAGGATGTTTTTTATAATATAGTGTTTATTTAATACGCACATTGTTTATAAAGAATAAAGATATTTAAGGAAGTTCTAAACGGACTGTTTTCATTCCAACGATATTGCAGATCGATCAAATAATTGCACAACAAGGAATTCGAAAACAGGTTTAAATTCGTGCGTTTCACCCTCTCCCCCTATAGGTTGAAATCCATTATAATGTATTAAAATCAATGTGAGCCGGGGGGGGGAGTCGATCCTACAGAACTAAAAAAGGAGGGGGTAAGACGGACTTTTTGGGCGCTAATCCCCTCCGAGACCCCCCCCCCCCTATTAAAATCCTACGAATAACATGATTTAACAAAATTTGACTTTAAAAATGTAAATATTAAATACCTACCCAAAAAGTTAATATACAATGAAATCGGTCCTTTTCAGGACCTCCAACGAATCCAGTACACCTAACAACTCTCAACCATTTGGTATAGGTTAAAATAGCCGATGAAGGTAATGTAGGTGCACTTTCATAACTTATTACATACAAATTAAAATATCATAAAATAACCAACACAGCCTTAACTTAAAGTTTGATAATAAGAATTCACTCTAATATTAAAAGTAATAATACATGGTTAGTTCTGCTAAACGTAAATTTGCTATGTTGCGCGTGGGTCACCGAGACAAAACAAATTGTGCGCTGACATCCTCATCATCTGACATTCCGATATAATTTGAATGTTCCATCAGTGATTATTGATTACACATGTATAGGGTATAGCCATTTATAGGTAAATATTCGTGATTCACTAAATAGGTAATAGTAAATATTATAGTAATATAGTATTATAGTTTATCATACCTTTATAATCATATAATCAAATAAATTCTATCATTACCTATATTTTATTTATAAGAATACTAAATATGTATATTTATTATGGGTTTTAAACTAAAATGTTCAAATAGGAAACAATAAATTTAATACATATTCAAAAATGCAAATACTATAAATTACAATGAGTGTTCACGCTTTTCTTATTTCTACATTTAATAAAATTATCATTATTACATTATCTATAATATTATGGTTGAAAAACCACTAAAATAAAACTGACCAAACATCTATCTCATTTAATAATTAATAGGTTTTCAATATCATTAAAAAAAAAAAAAACCCTAACCCAAATAACACAATTTAAAGGAAATATCTAAGTAAATATACTTCTAGACAAACTAAAATAAAAAACATTTATTTTTTAACTATTGAACATGTTAATTTGAGGTCGTATGTATATTGTAGTTATTTACATTAAAATAATTCTTATTCTTATTCAGACGTTCAAATGAAAATTACAGTTTAAGTCACCACGTTCATGCCATACTTTCGTTTTTGGTTTCTTCATTGAGAGGATGTTTATTATGTTTATGCTCCGTAAAAATATACGAGAGCAGCAAATTGCCAAAAAGATCGCTTTATGATATACCACAGCAATCATTTTGTAATGAGGCGAGTTCAGTTTATAATGATTCCTTAGTTGTAAAAACGTAGACATAATAGGTATCGTGGGTACATGGGTAGTTTATAGTATCTAATGATAAAATTTGATTAGGTGGAATTTTTTTTGTTACAAATTCAAAAAGATCATATTGGACTAACCGGGAGCCACATGTTTTTAATGACCAGAAGGTTCTTATTAACTGTGAGTATGGTATAAACCTAATTTAATAATTTTGTTTATCAATCATTGTACTCGTTCACTCAGTGTAAACATATATATTTTTGTTACAGATGTTTGGCACAATTGTTTCGTATGAAATATTATTGGTACAAATGAAAGGATACAGTTCTCGAAAAAACACTTAAGGATTCAAAGTAACCCGTAGAGCCCAGCCCCACTCTGTTTTGGTTTTAGATTTATCTTCTAGCTTAATCATCAAACCGCCTTCTGTCTTTTGACTCCACTATAACAATATTTAAAATGGTACAGTTATAAATATATTGTAATACCCATACACTAAATACTATGCATATTAGGTACCTATGTACGAATGTGAAAAGTTTTTTTTTATTTATTTGGTATAAATTACCTTGAGTTTACTTTGTGTGTCCAACATAACGATGGATTCGATATCTAATTTGTCCAGGCACGCAGAATTGAGTAAATTACCATCGGGCCATCGCAAAACAATCGAATAAATGGTCGAAGAATTTTTTCCTCGTGTGTACCTTAAAACCAATTGTATAATATACGATAATTAATGCATGAACTTTTCAAGTACTTTTGTAACGGTTTTACCACAAGTGCGGTTGTAGTGTATCGTTTTGACACGTCGACCACGGATTGCTGCCGAAAATAGATTCACCATTAACCGACAACCATTGGCCGATTTGTAACAAACGCTCTTCGTGTAGCGGGGGAATCATTCCATCACTGGTAGGACTAATGTTTAGTAACAAATTACCTGTAAATTCATAATTTTTTTTTTTTTTAATATAATATAATAAATCATTGTTTATAATTACCTATTTATTAATATATAAGATATATGACGTGTACTCAATAAATATAATATTAACTAACTAATTATAAAGTTAGAGTATAATTTACCTCCAAAGCTTACGGTTTCGACTAGTTGGGCGATTAAATTCTGTATCGAGTACACGTCTAATGCTCGAGCATTCCGTCTGTAACTCCACGAATACTTATCAATTGTCATGGCGTTCTCCCATTTTCGTCCAACAATCTTTCCTGCAATTTAAATAATGTATTTAACCGTTGACCTTGTATACTACCTTAGTGTATTATTATAGTAGGTTTATATAGGTAAACCTATAGGTCTGACTATATTATATTGTACTGGGTTATTCGTTTATCGAAGTTTTAGTACCTAAGTATTCTTTTAGATTAAGTAACATAAATCATTGCAAAACAACATTTTTAAAAAAATTATTTTTTATTATTTTTTAACTTTTTCGAATAACAAGATTATATTATATTCTCAATTTCTTATTCCAAGCAGAATATTTTTCAGCTTAAAAATCGAACTTAAGACTTAGTTTAAGACTTATAAGTTTTTAAAGTTTTGATAAGCAATAAGTGGAGTGACACAGGGGTACCCATACATATAATATGTATTATCTATGGGGATATCCCTCAAATATTAATCTACTAACTACTTAATTACTTACTATATAGTGAGTATAAACATTTAAATACTTTAAGCAGGCTCGTAGTCATGCATCTGCATTGCACACAGGAAAAATGCTAAGAATACGTTCATAACAACAGTAAAATAATATGAAGTTGATATGCGTTTTTGCATGTTTTGGGTGTAAAGTCATATTTGGCATATAGTTGATTTTTTACAGTTGTTAGTGCATATTATTTCATAAAAATATATTTTAGACAAATATTTGAAAAGTTTCCTCTGATTTTTGATATCTTGTTCCAATCGTCAAATATCGCGTGGTAAATTATAACGGTTTTTTAAATTTTTTATTGAGTAATTATTTAGCTAATTAATAAAAATATCGAAAATCAGGCTTCTTACGATTGTAAAAAAAGGTTCTACTTTATAATTTTTATAATCGTTATTTTTACTGTAAACCACTTCAATAAGCCGTATTACTTGAATTACGAAACCATGGTTTTATGCCATATTTTGTCTACTAATGCGCCCTCTTGTTGGAAAACATAAAAAAAAACACTTATAAAATATATATTACTAAATTATCTCAAAATGAAAAACCTAATATTTCATTCCAAATGTTTTCATTGTTGGTGCTGAATAAGAGGGTAAACAAATTAGACAAAATTGACTACCTAATTAAAATTTATAAAGATGACAAAGCTATTTGAACTTCACAAGTATTAATTTTATTTTTTATTTTATTAATTTTGACTGTTAAATATATAAAAATTAAAAGGAATAAAATACTTTTAAAATGTATGAATTTATTCTTATTATTTTAAAATTTGGTCATGTTTTTTTTACATAATGCATATTTTGAGTGCATAATTTAAAAATGTTAATGCATATAAACGCATATTTTTGAACTTTTAAGTGCATATTTTAATGCATATTTTGACAATTTTTAGTGCATGAATGCATGCTTATTTATGCATTTTTTAGTGCATGAAGTTACGAGCCCTGCTTATAAGTTATAACTGGTAAACTATCAGTGGCGGACTAGGGAGAGGGAAGCCGGGGATTGATCCCCGGGCTTAAAATTTTAGTGGGCGTACTTTTTTTTTGGGTCTTCATTTAATCCTTGGTGTTACAAGTTAAGAAAACATTTTTATTTCACATAATTTGTTTATGATGTTGTGGTGGAGGAATGTTTGAACGAATGAAAAACAAATAATAAAGTTATTGCTAAGATTATGAATAGATTCGTATTAGTATACCAATAGTATACTGGTATACTAGCATTAGCATACCTACTGCAGGTATATACAACTAACATACTATAATTATTAAGATTCTGAGTGAAAGTGTGCAACTAGTACCTACCTAGGCATTTATTGATACTGTGTTTTCGTTAAAATTTCTGATACCTACACAATAACTGTCATAAGATTATCAATCAACATACGATATATCAAAATTATGTTAATAGATTATAATATTATATATTATAATATTTACCAAGATGGTTGTAACATTTATTTAAGTTCAAAAAAAAGATTTGATTTTAAATATTTTCTTTTTTCCTTTTTTTCGTTTATAAATTGTTTAGTTAAATACAATTTTTTACTGGCCTAAATTGTGTACCTTAATCAGAATAAAAGGTTTTATATTTCACCATAACAATCTATTATAATTGAGGGCCGAGGCGTATGGAAACCAAACAGCAAAAGTGTTTTTAATTTTTATACAGGACAGGTAATTAAAGTTTTGATTATTTTTAAACATTTTTTTTCTTATAAAATCCACTCTAAGGAAAATAAGCTCATTTTGTATATATAAATTATTGCTTTTTAAGCCATCTATAAAGCATTAACCCAATTAATGTTGGTTAAGTTTTAATGTGGGTTATAGGCCACTCAAATTTTGAAAAAAATTTAGCCATATACTATTGCAGTTGGGTTAGTCCGACTCATTGAACATTTGTTAATCATTTAAATTTGAATCTATTTTTATATAATACATTATATAGTATAAACTTGGTTACACCATGGTCCACAGAATATATTAATTATTATATATTATTATTATGCAGGCGTGGATCTAGAAGATTTTAACACTGGGTGCTCAAACAAAAAAATGTGCACAAGTGGGTGTCTCTCTGCTGTACAGTAGGTTACAATTGGATCACTGTAGTCTGTAATGGATGGTATTAAATTTTAATTCAATGATATAATATCATTGTATAAGATAAACGATTCAGTTAACAAGACAGTCAGTCAGTCTATAATGTTATCAAGTATATTTGATGAGATTTTCGTGAATAAAGTAATTTATTTACCTATTTACGTGGAACTTTGTTTTAAACTGTCAATCTTTAGCTATAAAAGATAAAAATTGTATACATTTTTAAATACACAATAATTTTAAAACTCAAAATTAGACACATTTTGTTAAAATTCGAACTTTCAATGCTTATAAAAAAAAGGTTGCTTATATTATGTATTTTAAAAATTTTTCAACTGGTAAGTAAAAATATAGCAGGAATCTTGTATTAAATGTTGACACTTTTTGATCCAACAAATGACATTTTATTGACAATTAAAGAAAAAAAAACCCAAAACAATTTAAAATGTCCGTAAACAGCTCAAAACAGGTAAAAATATTTTGTACATTTAAGGAAGTATGGGAATCAATAAGTTGTTATATGGTGAAAAATTCAAGTATCTAAAGTTATTCGTGTTCGAATTACAACAAAATAAGAAAATCGTTACATGCCTACATGAGAAACCGAGAGAATATCCAATGATGTAAAAATTTAATTTGACTTTCCAGTAGATATTTTTTTTTGATACAGGTAGACATACTTATGAGGAATGTTGTATTAAATTTTCCAATGTTAGATTTAAAAATAAAATGTGCATGTATTTCTAACTCAAAATAATTTGCAAATTTTCGTGATTTTGACTTATTTTGTCAAAATTTGAACTTTAAATGCTTATAAGAAAAAATTGTGACAATTTCAAGCTTTTTTACCCAACAAATAACATTTTAATTGCAATCATAGAAAAACAACTAAAACAACTGAATATTTATTATGTTTTTTATTATTATTATGTTTATGCTGTTTACGGCTCAAAACAAGTCAAAATATTTTGATCGTGTGAATTTTATCGTGTACAGAAATGAATGCTAATATAAACATTCAGTGAAAATTGTATGTATCTATGGTTATTTCTTTTAGAGTTACCCCAAAAACCAAAATTGATTTTGTCGAAAACTGATTTTGTTTAAAAATTCCCATTTTTCCTTAATTTTTCCTTAATTTTTATTTTGTTATTCTAGACGTTTTTAAAACTATTGGAATTTTAAATGTTGACCTTCTGAATGAACCAGCTGTACTCACTTTATCATCGATTGAGATAGGTACTGTTGAAGAAAATCGAAGCAGTTGTACTGCCACCCAAATACGCGGGTGATGACAAAAACAAAACAAAAAAAAAAAAAATAATAAAAAAACGCATCATCCACATAATCGCTCCGCTCAGAATCTAAAAAAAAATTTGTTACACCTTTCTGTTTTAGAATTTTGAATACAAATGTATTTCATTAGTGGCTTAGAGTGCCTTAGACGACAGGGGGTGCCCAAGCACCCATAGTACCCCCCTGAATCCACGCTTGTTACTATGAGTTTAAAAGTCAGTAATTATGTTTGTAATTTTAGTTCCAGTTATTATAAAATAATTGTAGGGAAAGATATTATATTTTCAATCTTGGTCTATGATTGGGCGTAATTTTAATATTTTCCCCAGGCGTAAAAATTCTTAGTTCCGCCTCTGTCAACTTATAAGTAATCGTCCGAAATTTGATCTCTATATATTGAAATACTCCGAATAATATTTTAAATATTATTTTTAATAAACTTCAATACATTTTGAAATAAACAAATGAATATACTTCGATAAAATAATCAACCTGTAATACATGCTGTTCCTGCACGAGTACATTTGATAATTTTATATTCAAAATTCGAATCTCTAACATTATACGATACCTGGTTGATATCTATCCGCACAGGTCAAAAATCCACCGTGCTTGCACAGTGTATCACCACCCCATCGGTCATTCACCACTATCGTGTCTTTGACAGGACTATCGTTGTAGAGCCACGCTAGGAAGTTCAACGAATCCCAGTAGGTGTCTGGCGCTTCCCATTCACCATCTGACCATATGATTTCTGGTTTATAATTGTTCACCTATATAATATAATATTACCTATATATATCATTATACATGTGTCAGACACGATAGATAAGATAATATATATAAAATAAACACTCTTTATATACCGTAAAATGGGGAAACTTTGATAACTTGTTTACTGTTGTATCGTTGTATGACAATTCTCAATTTTACTTTTTAATTTATGGATAACTTCTGTACTAATTAACGATAAATTTCTCAAAATTAAACCTTAGTTACAGCTAGTTATGCTCAATTTTTTAACGTTTTAATTTTTAAATTTCTGATGTTATATCTTCTGACTTCTGAGATATTATTATGCTATCAAAGTTACACAACGTTGAGGACAACTTTGATACTTACCTACATTTCTTAATGTAATATCAAAGTAACTCCATTAAATAAAGAAAAATTTAATTGTCATGGTACTCTGGTAAAAAAAAAATTACCAATTCGTAAAGTTCCGGCAGGACTTTCTCGGTCACAAATGTGCGGGTGGTCAAATTCGACTGTTTGTCCTGTAGCCAAAGCGGATTAAACCATTCGTACAATGAATGGTACACTCCAAACCGAGTCTTGTTTAAACTCCTTATGGCTCTGCTCAGGTCACCTTCATGCATCCAAAACATATCAATATTATGATAATACTTCGCCACACGCCATACAAATCTCGACTCCATAATTGTATATATACATACCTACTAGATCTCTGTGGGGTCCGACGTCTACGGAGTTCCATCCGAATGATTTTTTCGACGGCCACAACGTGTAACCTTCGTGGTGTTTAGTGGTCAAGACTACGTATCTATATTAGTATATAACAGATACGTTAGTGTAAAGAACGACGACGAGCATAATATTATACATATAATATAGGTATATTAGTTATTATTATAGAAAATACATATACGGCGTGTGGGCACTGGGCTTTCAATCATGTTTTCCCATTTCCCTATATTAAACACGCGAGAAACCCATAACACGATGACCCTAATTGTATTGTAGTTTTTCAAATTTTGTGCGACAGGGAATTGCGGACACATTAAGTTTTCTGATGTATAGTGCGCTAATGCCCATAAATTTAGTCGTAGAAATATCTAGCGATCCCGCGATACAGTTTGTAAAATAGAAAGGTTTTACGTAAATAAATACATAATATTATATAGGTAGTTACTTTGCACCGGAGTCCTTGATGATACTGGCCCATTGCATGGGGTCGAAGAACTCTGCAGTGAACTGGGGACCAAATTCTTGGTACGTGAAACCTGGCTTGTAATTTTTTGTCATGAAGTTTACATAGTTTGCGCCCTTCCTACCTGTATAGTTACGTAGAGTAAGCATGAAAAATCTTAATTTATAGTTATACGATTCAAATATTCAATGATTGTCATGGCAGGTGCGGGAGGGGATAACGCTCCGTTTATTGTCGTTGGTACGTTAACCCACCTTACAAGATTTTCATGTAACAATATTGTTTTTGTACAACAAATAACCTTTAATCCATTTATATGTATGAATATAGTTTAAAATGTTTGTAAATCGTTTTTATATATGCTTAAATATTATTAACGTCTGTTGTGTAATTATTATAAATGTCTACGAATGTCTACCTATTGTATTTTTAACAAGACATAAGTACACAACACTAAAGACATGTATAGTGTTGTGTATTTTTATCTTGTTAAACATACAATGGACAATCATTCGTAGACGTTTATAATAATTACACGAACCGACGTTAATTTAAGCATATAAAAGCAATACGATACTGTTAGTACCTATCTATATAGCCAATAAGTACTAGCCACTAAAGTGTACTCACACAAACCGCCTGGTAAACAAAGAAAAATTAATTCCTACCTACACCTTGTTGTGATTCAGAATATAATTATCCTAATAATATTTTAATGTCTTAAAACTATCATTGATTATTGATTATTAGAATTGATAGTATATTATATAGGTCATAACCTAGACCTAAGACTTGAAATAATTATTGCTAGTTTTCACTACGAAATGCAAAATATAAATTTAATAACGCCATAAAAAATAAAACTACTTTTCCCTATTATACCTACTTATCTCTGTGAAAATACGTTTGAATTTATGTCAAAACCTAGATAACGATGAAATATTGTAGCAGATGATAATATTCGTGTTACTGTGTCAGTTTAATTAAGAAGAAATCGAACATTGTGGAACTATTGTCCATATAGTAATAACAAATAATACTAGTATAGTAGTATATATCTTAATAACATTTAAAAGCAAATGTATTAGTATATTATATTATTAAGAATTTATTCATTATTTAGAACTCGTGAGTACAATATATTGGAAAATTATTATTAAAAAAATATTATATACGACCAAAAACACTAAATTAAATTTTTTCGTATATGGTGAATAGTTCGTCAGAACAAACACTAGTATCATAAAGTAATAGTAGCCATAACTATACAAGTGATTCATCAAGCATGCTCACCCCTATTTTGTCCTTTAACAATGAATTTGTACAAGTTCTGATTTTAAATTTTAAAGTTAATTTTGGATGATATTTTCAAATACTTTTTATACCACATAAGAAGATTAGTGTCTTATGGTGAATTGTACCAATTTCTTTTTGTAAATTAGAATAACTTATTTTTCTTATAAATTGTTAATCAGATATAATATATTTGATATGATATATCGTAATCTATATTTGAACAAGCAGTTTGGCTTTATGTGCTTAGGACATTTATAAATTCATGATAACATTTTATAATAGTTATTAGTTTGTAAAAACTGTTCAAGCTTAATAATATAATATAATATAATATAATACCCATTATCTTCTTAAAAAATAAATACAATAAATTAAATAAATTAAAGTGGATGTAGCTCTGAAGTACAGTAGGTTAAAAGTAGGTCACTGTATAATGAATGGTATTAAATTTGAATTCAATGATATAATATCATTGTATACGAAAAACGATTCTGAGCGGAGACGGTCTGTCAGTGTGGATATTTTATATTATATTCATATTGTTATTACTTATTATTAATACGATAGGTAACCACGAACCAGTACCTAAGTTGAATTAATATTATAAAATTACAACAAAATAACAGTCCCGTTATTCTTGGTAGTTGATTATAACTTAATATGTAATTTTGTCAACATTTTAATACAAAATACCTATACACAAAAACTGTGTTTTTATATTTTTTGTTTACAGAATAACCTACTTACACGAGCCTTGTTTTAAATTTTCAATCCTTACCTATAAAAGTTGAACATTTTATACATTTTTAATCACAAAATCATTTTAAATTTTTCAATTTGATAAATGTCGACAAATATCGAACTTAAAATGCTTATAACAAAAATTGTGCCTATGTATTTTTGTTATTTTTCATCTCCTATTGTTACGATATATCAGGAGTCTTGTATTAAATTTTCAAGCTTTTTGACAAATTTAATAACATTTTATAGACATTTACTGAAAAAAAAAACTAAAAAAATTGAAAATTGAAATTGTCTGTAAACAGCTTGAAAACCGTCAAAATGTTTGAGAAATATAGGAATTGATAAAATAAACATACGATATACATTAGTTATTAGTATTATTAGTATTACGGTTATTCGTTTTTGAATTACAACAAAATACGAAAATCGCTACTATTGAGAAGTCGAACTCTAATAAAAATTTAATTTGACTTTCTTACAGACATTTTTTTTTTTTTTTGTTTAAGGTAGACAAACTTATAATTAATGTTGAATTACATTTTAAATTTTAGATTTAAAAAGAAAACTTCTAGGTATTTTTACTCAAAAAAATTTGAATTTTAAATGCTTATGAAAATAAAATTGTGACTGTATTTTTAATATTTTTCAACTATCATTAAAACTATATAATAGGAGACTTGTATTACATTTTCAAGCTTTTTAACCAATGAATAAAATTTTATTGACATTTATAGAAAAAAAAAGAAAAAACTTGTAAACTGAAAATGTCCATGGTAAACCGACAAACCGATTTTGCGTAAAAGTTACTTTTTTTCCTTAATTTTTGTTTTGTTTTTCCCCGTGCTTTTGAAAACTACTGACAAAATTAACCAACTATATTCTCTTTCCCATCGAAGAAGATATTGTTGAAGAAAATAGAAGCAGTGTTACTGCCCCAAACGATGATGATTGACACAAAAATAAAAAATTAAATAAAAAAAACACACACATCATTGTAAAACCAATACATTCATCGCTCCACTCAGAATCTAAAATAAAATACTAGAACAGTACCTATATTTAATATTACAGATATTTAATTATTTTGAAAAGCCATTTTTAAAGACTATTATTCTTAGTATTATATTATACATTTTAATAACTCAGGTTGTATTCTCATTTGAATTTTGATTTAGATACATAGAATTTTTCAACAAAATTATCTGCTTGAGCTTGACGCAACCAGAGTAAAAAAAGGTTATAATAAGAAAATAATATTTTATATCTATATATACGCAGTTGAAAACATTATACAACCTTAATAGTAGTTAAGTACCTATACTTAAAAGTTCCAAAAATCATGATTAGAATAGACTTGTTATTAAAAGAAAAACTGGGGTTTGTCATTATTGGTGAATCACCCTGTGCAGCACCTATGCAGTCGGTCCGACTGCCGTGCACGCGTGTTACCTCTCCAGTTCATCCAAAACCATTCGCTGCCGAACGCCGGCACCGAGTACACTCCCCAGTGGATGAACACCCCAAACTTGGCCTGATCGTACCACGAGGGCAACGGTCTGGCGTCCAGGCTGGTCCAGTCGGGTTTGTATCGACAGGTGGCAGACGATTCCAACGCTACGCAAGCCGATGCGGATATCCACGTGGTGACGGCGACGGCGAAGACCACGTCGGTTACGCTGCGGAGGTTCAGCATCTTTCTTATTCTTCAGATTTAACTATGCACCTACTTTGTGTTGCGCTATAAATATAATTAATGCCTACACTTTCCAGGTCGGACGACACAGGACAGACAGTGAAAATCGTTGTACGATAAGTTACGTATAAGTTACACAGTCACGGCCGCACGGTCGTCGTCGTTGTCGGTTGCCTAGCGCACGACTGACTGCAGCGGCAGGTTACGAGTTATATATAATAGGTACAGAGGTCACAGGACGCGGTACAATGTGCAGCAGTCGTGCGGACGGACCTCCGCGATATTTGCATAACGTAACCGCGGTATATAATGTAAATAACGCATTATCACCAGAGCATAATATACGGATGTAGTACGTGTTAACCGCGACCACGTCTGTTCCATTAGAATACTCGTTGAATTTGAAATGAAAACGCACAAAACTTTCGAGGTCGTACGTACATCGTACATGCGTGTTTATTGATGAATTGTACTATTGTAGGTATATATTATACAGTGAGGTACGGAGTCGTAGGAAGAAAAAGTCTCGACGGAAAACTGCCAACTGGTCAAGTTTTGTGTATAGAGGTATAAGTACCTGCACACACGTCGCGTAATAGTTGTGCGTGTGAAACGTTCAAATTCTTCAGACAACAGTCACCAATTTAATGACCGTCCGAGTACGCACTCGCAGACGCATTCAGACACAATGTATAATATGTATACGAAAAAATATAATAACAATATATTAATTAAATATGCCAGGAAGTTTTTGGAAAACAATTTCATACGCAGAAATACCATTTAAATACCTACGCTGCATCTACCAGTTACATGCAGTGGCGTATACAAGGGGGGCGTTGGGGTCAGATCCCCTCCCATTGGCTTTGGAGTGGATAATCTGCTTCCATTTTGTGTTTGATGTGAATTTTTAATCAATTCAAATTATTTTCGTATTGTTAAATATTTTACCACCTAAATAAAAAGTTTTGAGAGGGTGAGATATTTTCCAATTTTCCCCTACCATTTAGCTATGTCGTTTTCTTTTTTGATCCACCCCTCTTTCAGAAATCATGTCTACGTCACTGGTCGCACGCAAATAGGTGCAGGTTAGGTAGGGTGGAATAGGTGGATGCCTTTATGAATTTATAGGTATGGATGAGAAATTCAAAAGACCCCGACACTCTTTATAATATTTGTATACCTATATGACTATATACCTAAATATCTTATATACCACAACTGCTTATCATTGACCTTTGTCGTAGACACCGTTTTTTTTTATACCCACTCGCGAAGCGCGTATTCATTAAATACTCGTATGTCCTATAATCTTCAGATAAATCAATTCCAAATTCTTATAGCCTTCCGAAACAGAAGAGGCTTTATGCTAGTATAGGTATAATATTATATAATATTAGTATACCTACTCGACATCGTTTAATTGTAAATTCTCGTTATCTTATATTTTCGTGCACTACGCAAAAAAATAAAATCAAACCATAGAGCCGCCGCTGTGGCCATACAGACATACAGTAGCCACCAGCCAGTTGGAGTAGGTACAATGTATATTTTTGGTATGCACCTTGTACGGATAGCCATATGTGAAAAAAAAGCTTACCGTAGACCACAATGAAACAGAAACACGAACAGTTAAGTAATTACAATATTATGGCTATCACCGTTAATATAGCCCAAAATCGAAATAAAATTATATAAACAACAAAATACATTCAATAAATACATAAATAAAACGAATAATTATAATTACATACACAATGATCTGTCAACAAGCATCCGCTAGAAATGCTCTCAAAAAATTCCTAGTACTTAAAACACTTCAAAAGGTGAATAATAACAAATACCTACATTATAAACTATATATTATTATGTAATTATGTGAAGTGATTCCAGTACCAAAAAGATGTGAGAATAAGAAACTTATGGCCTAGATTGGCCGATAAAAAAAATACCAGGGGATAAACTTTTATTGTATATTGTCCATAGTAGGTATTCGAAAACGAAATAAATATTTACAAATTCCTAATTACGCCACTGTGGTATCGATTTGGAATAAAATTAAAAGTAAAGTAAATCGTCCCATGCAATGAAGTGGATATGTGTTCAATTAATTATAACTAATTGTATACATTTATACTTATATTAGTAATTAGTTGGTAATTTAAATTAGCAAAATTATTATTATTAATTTTATAAATTTGTTTATTGAACAATATAAAAATTAATTTATTTTGTTACAGTAAAGTTCATAAATAGGAGTTGTCCGTAGGCACTAATAAGTTAAATCATTATAATATGCACATAAATTATATTTTTCTGTTTTAAAAAACTGCTTTTTTTATGTAATTTAAATCATTTGTTTTAAATGTTTGAAACAAAACGTCAAAACCATGTTATTTTTTAATTCACACCTTTGTTTGAATTATTATAATTATTTAAATAAACATTTTTTGTATAATATAGGTGGTTCAAAATTGAAAATGACAACGTTGTAGAGTTTTTTTGCTCAATCGTGTAGGTTTTCTTTTGTATTTCTATATCCTATGATACGCTGACAAATTTGCCTAATCGTGTCGTTAGCCGCCCAACAACGTTGCTCCCCGTCTTACAGTTGTTTTTCGTTTTTGATTTTTTTTTCGTTGTTTATAAAGGTTTTCCGTCCTTGGCTTAAACGTTTCTATAAGAAAACGTGTCCGAGAAAAACATGTTATCAACAAAAATGGCAGATATGAGCGTTCAATCGTCGGTATTATTTAGATAGGTATCTGTCAAAATATAACAGAGTTTCTTATCATGTCGAATTTTGTTCCCTACTCATGTGACATAGTCGATTGTTTATAACAATTACCAGACTAGAATGCACAATATATACAAGGAGTAAGGACTATATAACGGGCCCAACTCCAGAAATTTATTAATATATTTTATGTTCGTCACACGATCCCGGGACATGAAAAAATCGTAAAAATTGTATATACGCAGGTTGAATATGCGACGACGGCTTAAACATATAATAATATATATTTTCTAATTCATTGTGACACTATATTGTTCTGCTTATTCAGCTTGCTGAGTTATTCTCTGTTCTAGAATTCGACTATACAAATGAAAGTCAGGATTTTTAATGTTAACAAACTAATGAGACTATAATAAAATATGTTGGCGGCGAGTGCTTACTTTGGTGACGGAAGTCGGTGATATTTTTCTTTTAAACAAAGTAGAGTAATTGTATTTTAAATGATTTTTTTTTGTTCATAAATGATGTGGGCGTGAGAGTAATATGTGAAAGCGAATCTTGATTCTTGCAGTCCTGGTTTAAAGTACCTATACTATAATAGAAGAAAAACGGTAAAGAAACTTGCAAAAAAAAAATATATATTAATTTTTTTTTATATTTGCTCTAGTTGAAGTTGTTTTGGGTACGAAGTTTATAAAAACAATATATTACCTTTTATTATTTATAAGTGTCTATATGTTTTGAACTCACCATCTCCTATCACAGCAAGGCATGGCTTATTGGGGAGGTGCAGTCATTAGTTGTATTTTGTAAAATTTAACTATGTATTTTGTTGTTGTGACAAATAAATAAATAAAAAGGGGAATGACTAACATTTAAATATATATAGATAGATAATACAACTTATATACGTACTCCAATAATATACTTCAAATATAATCTATATTATATACATACAAATTACAAAGACTTGACAAAGTTGAGTATTTATTTTAAATTATATACATGACACACTTGATATATAAAACAAAAAAATTAAGCATGATGGAAAAATCGTGTTTTTGATTTTGTAATACCAATATTAAAACAGTAAGAAAGCTTTTCGTGTTTTTTATTATTAATATTAATAAAATATTCATGTGACAAATGAAACAGCTAATGACAAGGCGTATTTCACATCAAAATAAGCAGCCTTGACATTGTAAACATATATAAATACTACCACGAAATATTAGAAACAAACTTAGGTAAGTATTTTAGTAAACATGGCACAGCAACGGAAGTGGACTGCCCCACTGTGCTACTACGTGTATAACCCAGTAATAGGTTTAGAGCTCATCGTTTAAAAGATAACTATAGTATTAAGCGTTTTTAGATTTTGTGTATGAAATACTATAATCAAAAATGTAGGTAGGTAACTATTGATTTTTTTGTCATTCCGTTATATAATATTTACATTACAAAAATTAGCGGGGGAAAAATTATAGACAATTAAAAAATTCACAATCGAGCGAGTCAGATACTGGCGTAACACATAGTAAGAACGTTAAATTTGAATTCAAAATAATTACAATCCACGCATCGATGATTCAGATTTACTTGCCTAACGCAAGGAAGTAAACACCATGAATGTTGATTATTCAAAAATTAAATTAAGTATAGGTACCTTAAAATGTCAATCTCAAGTAGACATATAAAGAAATTCAAATCAGTCTTCAGAAGTCTTATCGCGTTATCAGGTCCATCGGTAGGATTGACAAAATGAGCATACAAATGAGCATAAATTGTTTAATGTTTACAACTCTCGTAACGCTGTTTTGGTGACTTGTGCGTGAGAGCTTGCTATTTTATTTACACATCACAGTCACACTAATGAACACTTACTATGCACACATATTTTGTAAGACCCGCATGCACACAATTTGAAAATTTCCTATTTCTAACTCCTTAAAAACTGTCCGTTTGCTTAAGACTATAAACGTTTTAGAATAGATTGCATTCAATTTATTATTCATATTCCAATCGACATGGTAGATAAATGGTTTTCAATGATTTGAGGTTTATATAATATTATTATAAAGAAAAAATCAACTGACTGTAATAAACTTAAACATTTCTAAATTATTTATGGGATTAAAATTTGATTTTTTTCTCTGCATAGCTGATAATATAGTTTAAATTTATAATAGTATAACATATTAAGTCGTGTATACATGGGCTCAAATAAATAATACACGGTGCATGGAAACACTGACCCATGGTC